ATTTCTCCACATTCTTTTCCAGAAACATCAACAGCAGCAGTTTCACCAACAGGGAGTCTCGACAGAACCACACTGGACCATGAAGAAGATACTGAATAAAAGTGATATTGGTCACAAGCTTTATCTTGGTAAATCCTTCGTTGAGGATTACATTCTGAAACATCTCCCTAAAGAAGATGGCCAAAAGATACTCGAAAATGATCCAGGAATCGTGGTTAAGGTGTATGACCGCGATACCTACACAACGCACACGCTGTCTCTGGCATTCGGGAAAAAATATGTTCTACAGACAGGTTGGAAAAAAGAATTTGTTGTAAGGAGAAATTTACATATAGAAGAGCAGATTGGACTCTTCTGGGATTGTTCTGAATCTAAGCTTCATTTTAGCGTGCTTTCTCCTTTGGTAAGTACTCTGTGAAATTCACTTTGCATTGCAACAAGGTGCATCAACGAAACAACAATCAAATTTTCGATCTGAGAATACGAATCTGTAATCTTATTTCTCTACATTCTTTTGCAGCAACATCAACAGCAGCAGTTTCAGCAACACAGAGTCTTGACAGTACCTCACTGGACCGAAAAGAAGATACTGAAATGGTGCGATATAAGTAGCACACTTTTTCTTCATAAATTATTCGTTGAAAACCACATTCGGAAACATCTCCCTAAAGAAGATAACCAAAAGATACGCGAAGTTGAGCGCGGAATCACGGTTAAGGCGTACGACCATGACACGCACACATCCCACGATTTGTTTCTGACTGTCAGGAACCAACAATATATTCTATGGAAAGGTTGGAAAAAAGAATTTGTTGAAAGGAGAAGGTTACTTGTAGGAGAGGAGATTGGACTCTTCTGGAATCGTTCTGATTCTACACTTCATTTTCACGTGCTTTCTCGTGCACTTCTCTAAAGCTCCTACAGAAAAAGAAGAAGCTATCAATCCAGTAATCTCCGGAAGAGGTGAAAGTACTTAGAGTTCCTGCCTTTCTGATCTCATTTAGAAACGTTTATTACCAAGTGAAGATGAAGTTTTTGTWTTGGCTTTATAATGTCAAACAGTGAATAGTGTTGCTCATAATAGATGTTTCAATAGCCAATTAGAAATCAAAGTGTACCAATACTGCTACAAATGGTGTACATTTTCATTCCATAAATCTATGAAAATGGTTTGTTCAGAGTGAAATTCCGTTTATGAGGGTCTACAAATGATTTGAAATACACATAAAAGTTCAACCTTTTTGCCACTTTCATGCACACTAAAGCTAGAGAGTAAGAAAGAGTGATTGTAAAACTTGAAACAGATGAACAAAAATACTTGGAATCAATCTAAACCCTTCCTTTGGAAGCAATTGTCCAAGCATATACATAGAAGCTTGGAACTTGCTATTAAAACCACATACCTCTTGTCAAGTAAGAAATTCCGACTCAAGACATTTGTAAGATACCTGAAACCAAATGGATTGAGCATACCAGTCATTTTAAAATCCAAATCACTCAATTTTACATAACACTTACTAATCTCGGGATCGATTAGTCCCAATGCGACTCTAATGCAACAAAAACCTACAAACAGGAGCTATAAAATTAAACTATCAACCCAATTCCGATTACATTACAAGGAGCGATAAACGATTTTTGACAAATTTTCAAATCACAAAAGTTGAAATCGAAACAATAACCAGAATAGAGAAACCGGTAATTACCTCTCGGAGCTGCTGATCGGAGACAAGAGACTCGATTTCATCGAGAAGGTTTACAGTTTCGGTATGACTTTTTCTCAGATTGGGAAGTCTCTTCGAGGAGATGGATGGATTTCCCGCCAACATAAGCACGTGCCACTCACGTGATGACACAAATTTATTTGGGCCGAAAAGTAGGCCCAAAACCATTTCTCTTCCCACTCGCTCTCTTCAGTCT